TATGGATTCATATTTTCTTGCAAACTAGTAGTTTTTTAGTAGCATTTATTATAGTTTTGCAAATTCTAAGTAGATTATGTGAAATCAGACAAATGTATGACTATGAAAAACAAGGAAGTTGTTGTCACAACATAGAGGTAATTCCTTTCTAGGTGTATCTGTAGCTCAATGAATCACATACAAAACAAGGCCAAAAAAAAGAAAGAAAGAAAAACTCACCAAACCAAATGAATATATTAAGGATATAGTTTGTTTCCTTTTAATAAAAAAATCAATATTAGAATTATCTGCAAAATTTGAATATGCATATTGTGTTCAAAATTATTAAAGAATGGTTATTTATTTATTTACTTATTTTTAAAGATTTTATTTATTTATTTGATAGATAGAGATCACAAGTATGCAGAGAGGCAGGCAGAGAGAGAGAGGAGGAAGCAAGCTCCCTGTTGAGCAGAGAGCCTGATGTGGGGCTCGATCCAAGGACCCTGTGATCATGACCTGAGCCAAAGGCAGAGGCTTAACCCACTGAGCCACCCAGGTGTTCCATGAATGGTTAATTAAAACCTGATACCTGGTACACTGATTAATGTAGAAAAAAAGGGAGTATATTGAATTTAAATATGAATCTGTTCCAGTCAAGTATGTTATTTACTTGGAGTTTATAAGCTTGTCAATAAAATGAGTAGGTCCTTGAGGGAATTTTCAGAAGATCGTGAAAGGCAAGCACTGGAATCTGTCTCCCCACCTAGACAACATTTCCACTGGTAATATCTGTCTGATATAATCTAGGGTTTAGTGAAGTCCTGTAACTTCCAGAGGAAGGCTGGGATGATAAATTACTGTTAATTTTGGTAATTTTAGATCTTAGCACAGTAGCAGTGACCCATTCCATGGCCCCAGCTGAGATACTGAATATTTAATTATTTAATGTTTATTACTTTAAGTTTAAGTGTATATATCCACTGTGGCCTGTGGCTATCCTATTGGACAGCACACATCTAAGTAATCTTATTAGTAGTCTAATAAAAAGTAGTCAAGTCACATCCAAATATATTTGGTAGATTATTGAGATAGAATTAACTACAAAAATGACAAACATATATAATCAGGCAACCACCATTACAATCAAGATATAAAATATTTCCGCTATCCTACACAGTTTTCTCATGACACTTTTGTAGTCAATCACTTTTCACCATCAGCCCCTAAAACCATTGATCAAATTTCTAACCCTATAGTTCAGTGTTTTTCAGAATTATAGAAACAGAATCACAGAATATGTAGACATTGTATATGGCTTCTTTCACTTAGTGTAATATTTTGAAGACTCAATTGTGTTTTTTTTAATCTGACTAATTTATTGCATTTGTATGTACATGCCATAATTTTTTAAACTTCTTACCAGATGGCGGAAATTGGATCATCTCCAGGTTTGGGCATTATCATAAAGTGTATTTAATAGCTAAAAATCAGTTCACTTGAAGGTTCAAAATAATTTCATCAAACATCCAATTGAAACCTCAACCTATTAATATGATAAAATGTTATGCTTGTTACTTGTAAATAAACATACTACCAGGTGCCAGAGTGTAAAATGGTTTACAATAAAGCCTAAAATTACTTCTGTTGCTAATTGGAAGCAAGGCCGTGTCTGGGGCTTGTATAAACCAGCTTAGGATTTTTCCGTGTTGCCCCAGGACGGTGAACTACTGATGATCCTGTTAAATATTTCATCCATTATTCTAAATTATTAATGATACTCCCCTGGGATACTTTCACTTCAGCTTTTGTTTAAGGTAGATTACAATGGTGTTTTTTATTGACAGAAATTAGTATTTTTGGAACTTTGATCCTCTGGATGATTTTTTTTTCCTTTGCTTTATTTCAGTAGAACCCTTGAGTCTGTAGTAAATAGCAAATGATAAAGCTGCAGCATTTCATAAGTGCAAACAAAGCAATATGGAGTCTCAGAATAGTTGTTTAAATTTCATCAGATGATGCCCCAAGTTTTTTTAGTTGTCTCACTTTATTTTACTTTAATGTATAACTACTGATTTGAGGCTTTGAATGATAACAATTATAACAACCATCTTTCACAAAATGCAAGTTATCTGGAAAAGAAGATGGATGTCCATTAAAATTATTAATACTTGAGTTCTGAACTTCAAAGTGAGTATAAATTTGAAGGATGTGGAAATTCTTTATGGAAGGACCATATGTACATGGTCCCTCCCACAAAAATCATTGATTGGAAATATCCATCTTATAAAATAAAATATGATGATAAGAGAGTAAAATCATGATTAATTATGTTAACATAAATCTCTGGCATGTACATATAAGGGGACATTAGATACAGTAGATCCCAGAAGGTAAGGGGATTATAATTTTAACTTGACTTTAAACTCAGAAATTAAGTTAAGTGCACAAGTCCCATTCAGGGAGTTGAATTTGACTACTACATTTTTAAGGTTTACAGTTTTTTTAAATGGTTGTATATTAACAGATGTTGTAATCTATTTTATTCACATATAGTTACATCTAACTTTCATTTTCTCTGATTCTCTTCATGAATTATTATTCTGAGTAAAATAATGTGAAAAAATCCTGAGCATCGCTTTTCTAAAATCTGAAATACCATAGTTCCAGAACAGTCTGTTAGATCCACGTGGTAACAGAAACTGTATGCTAACTCCAGGACCATAGCTTTTCAAATAAGAATAGAGCAAGATGGCAGTTATAACAAGGATATAAACGTATATTTTTATATAAAACTTTGTGGCCAGACAGTAGTTGAAGATTGTAAGGCTTCAATTGCCATTAAAAATATTAAAGCTATTCCCTAAAACCTGTTTCAGAAAAGCACATTGAGCATGGAACAGTTTTATCTTTCCCCAAATAAGGAAAACTAATATATATGCAGCAATATTAATAAGACAAATGCAAAAGAATAAAAATAACAGAGTGCTTTAGCAAACCATTTCCTTTATAAGTCTGCAGGTAATGCATATAATGAGACAGACTAACATGTTTCACATAAAAGAGAATAGTATGTCATGGAAACAAGTAGAATTCTTATACTTAAAAAGAACAGGTTAATATAATGTTAGGGAGGGAAAATGTTACCCTAATATTCAAGATTCTTTTGGCTGGTTTAAGAATTAAAGTGACATGAGACAGATTAATAGGAGAAAATGAAATTAATTGCAAATATATGGGTGGCTCCATGAGAATATGGGAATAATAGGCAGTCAGGCAATTGAGTCTTATCTGCCATTCTGGACAAAGAAGTATGTGGAGGTCTGGGACTTCAATGGGAGGACAATTCAAAGGAAAACAAAAAAGAGTCAGTGTTTGAGGAACAAATGTTTGCTGGGCCACATGGAAACAATGGGATATAGAGAAGAATTTTAACAGACTTTGCTAAGTTTCTCCCTCTCTATCACACCTACTTCATTTTACATTGTAGTTGTTTATGGTGATGGTTCTCTTTTGGAGCAGGGAGTATTATCTAAATTTGGAGCATTATCTAAATTCTTTTAGACATTTGAGGAGGAGGTAAAAGGTCATAAAAGGGAAAAAAAAGGAAGTAAAAGGAAAAACATTCTGAGTCTTCCTTTTCTCAAAAATGATCAGCTTAAATTAATGATCATGCCAAAGAGACACATTTTGGAGTGGCAGATTTCACTTCCCTACAATAATTTCTATTAGTATTCAACAATTCTGCAAAGAATATGGGGAAAGTAAAATAAAAAGCAGTGACCCAAATTAATGTAGACACATGTACGAACCTCAAAAAGGTTAATTTAAAAAATACAGAATATTTTTATTAAAATATGTTGTTTGTTTTTGTCATGTTTTGCTTTGCTGCATTTGTTATATATATTGAAAAACTGTCCATTTGAATATAGCAAAGTCAGTGAAGAAAATTTGTAATAATAATTGTGTGCTCTGGGTGCAGAAAAAATTTCACTTTGCCGAATTAATGGAAATCAGTCCTGCTTAGTCATTGACTATCACAGGATTTGTAATATAAATTTAAATCCTGATTTTGCAAATCACCCTGGTACACGTTATAAAACACAGAACAACATAGTGTATTTGCACAGATGGAATAAAAAAGATAGAAAAATACATTTAAAATAACTCATATTCTTTTGTTTAAATTATTCATGCAGAGTTGAGTCTATTAGGGAGGAATGGGTTAAAAAATGCATATTAGCCAAAGAAAATATTCAATCTCCAGAGAATAAAATTGTGAGAAATATTATAATAAGGAGAACTAATGGATGAAAAAGAATTTAGTATTGTCATAGCATGTAATTATGTGTCATCACAAATTTTAGACTGGAGAAATGCTTTCCAAATAGATAAATTTGAGAATATATACCTTTTTCTTGCATTAGGTAAGTATATAAATATTTAGGTTAAGTTGTTTAGTTAAGATGTGTAATTAGTATATATATATTTATTTAGTTTATATATATTTAGGTTAATTTCTATATAATTTAATTTATATACATTTGTATGTATTTATTTATACATATTTATACACATTTTACATATTTATACATATTTATACGTATTTATACATATACATACATATATAATACATATACACATTTATACATATTTATACATACATTATACATATTTATATGTATTTAGGTTTATATATATTTATACATAGGTTAATGTGTGTATATATATATGAAAATTTATATTACACTACAATATATTATATTCATGTGTATGTTTAATTTTTTGTCCTTTTTTCTTATGTATATTTGTTAAGGTTCCTATTAAGAGAAATGAAAAACCAATCAATGGAAATAGAGTTCATTCTCCTGGGACTGACAGATGACCCACAATTGCAAATTGTGATTTTCATGTTTCTCTTTCTTAATTACACATTGAGCCTGATGGGGAACTTAATCATTATCCTCCTCACCCTGCTAGATCCTCGCCTCAAGACACCAATGTATTTCTTTCTCCGTAATTTCTCATTTTTAGAAATCATATTCACAACAGTATGTATTCCCAGATACTTGATAACCATTGTAACTAGAGAAAAAACCATCTCATATAATAATTGTGCAGCTCAATTATTTTTTATTCTTTTACTGGGAGTTACAGAGTTTTACCTTCTGGCTGCTATGTCCTATGACGGCTATGTTGCCATCTGTACACCCTTGCATTACCCAATCATTATGAACAGCAGAGTGTGCTATTGGCTTGTACTTTCCTCTTGGCTAACCGGATTCCTAATCATCTTTCCTCCAATGCTTATGGGACTCAAACTCAATTTCTGTGCTTCCAAAATAATTGATCACTTTATGTGTGAAAATTCTCCTATCCTGCAGATATCCTGCACAGATACATGTGTCCTAGAATTGATGTCTTTTATCTTTGCTGTGGTGACCCTTGTGGTCACACTTGCATCTCCTACACTTGCATCATGAAGACCATTATGAAATTCCCTTTGGCACAGCAAAGGACCAAAGCTTTTTCCACTTGTACTTCCCATATGATTGTTGTCTCCATGACTTATGGGAGCTGCATCTTTATGTATATTAAACCATCTGCCAAAGAAAGGGTGACTGTATCCAAAGGCGTAGCTTTGCTGTATACCTCAGTTGTCCCTTTACTAAACCCCTTCATTTATACCCTAAGGAACCAGCAGGTGAAAGAAATCTTCTGGGATATGTTACAAAAGATGTGTTTTTCAAAAAAGCAATTGTAATGAATGTCACAAATCACAGCCTTGCTATAAAAACAACAACAAAAAATTCATTAATTTTTTTTTAAGATTTTGTTTATTTATTTGAGACAGAGATAGTATAAGCAGAGTGGAGGCTGAAGGGAGAGGGAGAAGCAGGCTCCCAGGGAGCCTGATGAAGGGCTTGATCCCAGGACCCGGAATCATGACCTGAGGCAAAAGCGATACTCAACTGACTGAACTCCTAGGCACCCTCATTCATTTCTTCTGATTGTGTTTTTCTGCCTCATTACTTATCTGCTATGGACATTGTCTTGGAGAATCTTGCAGCTAAGTTCCACCGTTACATTTTATTATTCCTAATGAAAACACCTCTCAAATCTGTACCACAAGCTTTAAATAACATTTCTTTATTGTATATTAGCTTCTAGAAACCACAACTTTTAAAATATATGCCTTTTATAAGTATAATTTGCTTATCTTAAATTGTTAATTAAACATCTATTATGTATCCCCCTTATTTCCGACATTGCGAAGTGCTCCATCCTTATATTTAAGAAGTTTGTCTTACTTAAAGGAGACAAACACATAACTCTAATATTAGTATATAGTGTATAATTAGTGTTGTAATAAAAGGATATTAAAATATTATGGGGCATTCTGTATAGTTTCTAAGTTATTCTGGAGTTCTGGGAGGCATTTAGAAGAAAGTAATAGTGAGACTAAAAATATACATAAGGAAAGAAGACTTAAGTCTAAATATATGCAAATAACACAGAGGTATTAAATAACCACATGCATTTGAGGAATTAGCAGATCTAATGTTTAAAACAAGATTTTTGAGATATTCAGCCTGGTTTCAGTAAAGTTTCCTTACAACTACAATGTCAAATACTTCACAGAATACATAAAATTTTTGTGTCTCAGAATTTCCATATATAAAGTATGATAATGTTTTAAAAGATTTTATTTCATTGATTTTAGAGAGAAAGTGTGTGTGTACAAGAGCAGGGGGAGAGGCAGAGAGAAAGGGAAGTAGACTCCCCGCTGAGCCCAGAGCTGATGTGGACCTTGATATCAGGACCCTGAGATCATGATCTGAGCCAAAACCAAGATGGATGCTTAACTGACAAAGCCACCCAGGTGCCTGTTTAGCACCGAGTAAAAGATATTGTTTATTTTGGACAATTTAAGCATGTGGTTCAACTAGTACTTAATATGGTATTATACAGGTAGAGGTAACAAGTATTTTGGACTTACACCTGGTATTTATGTAATGTTGAAATGTTTTGTGAAGAATCACCTTGGTAACATTTTAAACGTAATTTACAGTTACATTCCTATGCCTGGAAAACAGCCGGTATATCCTATGTTACCCGTCTATTTTCTAAAATTCTTGCGAAATAAATTCAGTGTTTTTCATAGCAATGTAGTGTCAAATTATTACCTGATACAAGGTTTGTTTGCCAAAATCTTTCTCTAATTCCAGCTTGTTTTCTACTTGGCAAAATTATGTTAATTCTGACCTGAAGAAAAAATGCACAGACTCTATTTCTTTGGCAACAATAGTGTACATCTCCATATTCAAAGATCCAGCAAACTTCCATCTAGGAAAGATACATTTCCTTTGTGTAGGTATTCCACCCTTACTTTTGGTTTAGGGAAGTGATAGAAGCATATCTTTCATCTATCTCACTCCTTTTCTTCAGGGTAATTAGGTTAATACTTTCCTCTGTTTATAAACCCTATATAAATGCATCTGACTGCAATTGTTGGTTATTTTTTTTAGAATCTGACCTACAAAAAATTTTTGTATTTGGCCTTTTTATAGCAATTCATGGGCAACAAGGGAATTCTCATTTGACTTACAAATTTGCAAGCTATTTCTGAAATTTATTACTGAAAGTATGATTACTTTTACTTTCATTCAATGATTCTGAGAATCTTCTGAGACTATTAAAGATACTTTTTTCTAATGCTCTACTGTTATAATTCTATTTTCCATTTCTTCTGAAAGCTTCATAATTAGGAATTTCAATCCCTCTGAAAAAAAGATTATTGTTTAGATCATTAAAAGAGTAAACTTATTTGAACCCTTTTATTCACCAATAAAGGTCTCATTATTCAAATAGTTTAAGTATAACTACAGAGATCTTTAAAGAAGTCTGCTCAGAGTCCGTGAAGTACTAGTCCAAAGACAAATATTGGCTTAAGGAACCAGAAGAAAATGTTTGTCTGCATCCACGCCAGTGTAAAACAACTGTGCTGTACAACTGTTGTAAGAAATGGCCTTATTGATGCATTCAGACTGGGTCTGAGGACAGGAGAGGGTCTCACAGGACCAGCCAAGAGGTCTTTGACTTCCCACAGGATCTAATTCAAATGTGGGCCAGAGAAAGCAGAAACAGAGTTTATTGATTAATGTAAGTGACAGAATAGTAGAGTGTCTGGGAGACTTGGAAAGGAAAGGAGAATGAGTCTTTCTGTTGTTTTTTGGGGCTAGCGGTTTATAGTAGAAAATGGTCTAGGGTGCGTATTTCTCCAGGAATCCAGGGAAAAGTGAGTATCAGGTGAACAACAGGGATTACTCTGTATATTACTAAAGGTAAGGGTATTGATGCTGGTGTCAGCAAAATTTGTTTGAAGCTAATGTCCTGGAATGTGTCTGGAATCTGGCTCTTCTTGGATGTTACCAGGTGTTTGGGGGCTAGGACAAAACCCAGAGAATGTTGAATTTTCTTCTCCCTTGAGGTGGGAACGTAGCTTCTTTGGCTTGTTCAGAGGCTATGTATGGAACATGAGTAAATGGGGCTTAGCAGAAAATAGCAGAGATGGAGTCTTTCTGAAATGGAGTCCCTTTAGCTTTCCTACTTCCTTATCACCTGTTGCCATACTGACAAGAAATTTGGGGACGCAGTTAGTTGTGAATGAGATTTCTAAGAATGAGAAATTTTGGAGAAAAAATATATGGGTGTTTTTGGATCAGAGTTCATTGGGGGAGGGTGATTATGGATGGATTCCCAGTGACACTCAGCAAGTAGGTAAAGACAAAAATAAAGAGGAGAAAAATGACCACCTGTAATTGCAGATCATTGGTCAGTCCAAGAAAAATAAAAGGTGTCACTGCTGTGTGGTTTCTCACAGCTGATTTCTATGAAGAAGGGGGATAAATGGGAGGAGAAGAGGGGAAAAAATGGGAATTAAAGAAGAAAGTTTACAGAGATACCTACTCTCTTAATATCCTCATAAACACATTGCTGTGGACACCCAACCTCCTTTAATATTCTGTTAGTCAGCAGTAACATCCTCTGAAACTTCACTCATACAATTTTCATTCAAAAATTCACTAACTCTATCAAACTCTCTGAATTTTTTCTTTTAATCCAAGCTTTACAAAAGGATAACACATTGCATTAATAGAGCCATATAAAAATAAAAACAAAGAAAGAAACTAAAGAAGCCTATATTTGGGGTGCATGGTGGCTCAGATGGTTAAATAGCTACCTTAGGCTTAAGTCATGATCCCAGGGTCCTGGGATTGAGTCCCATATTTGGGACTGCTCAGAGGGGAGCCTGCTTCTCTCTCTCCCTTGACTTCTCCCCTTGCTTGTGCTCTCTTGTTCTCTCTGTTAAATGAATGAATGAATGAATAAATAAATAAAATCTTATAAAAAGTCTATATTTCTCTATTACTATTTATGATGGCCTTTGCTATTCTGTAAGTCAGATTTCAGTGGACTCTGCCTTTTAACATAACACAAACTTGACCGAAACATCTCTAGCCCACATACAGTGCCAAACTTTTCCATAGTGACTACACAATTTTACATTCCCACTAACAATATAAAAGCATTCCAATTACTACACATCCACATTTAAAAAATTAGAGTCATCCTAATGGGTTTAAAGTGTTGTATCTTGGTATTGATTTGCATTTCCATAATGACTAATAATATTGAGGATCATTGCATGTGCTTGTTGGACATTTTGAGAAATTTGTATTCAAATCCTTACACATTTTTTGAAAAAATATTTTATTTATTTATTTGACACACAGAGAGCAGAAGTAGGCAAAGAGGCAGGCAGAGAGAGAGGGGGAAGCATACTCCCTGCTGAGCAGAGAGCCTGATGTGGGGCTCAATCCCAGGACCCTGAGACCATGACCTGCACCGAAGGCAGAGGCTCAACCCACTGAGCCACAGCTGCCCCTCCATGCACATTTTAAAAGACTCATTAATTTATTTGAGAGAGAGAGCGTGTGTGCACTTGCACACACAGATGTATGAGTTGGGAAAAGGTCAAAGGGAAGGAATCTTCAAGAAGATTCCCCACTGAGTGTGGAGCCTGACATAGGGCTGATCTCAGGACCCATGAAAGCATGAGCTGATCTGAAACCAAGAGTCAGACACTTCAACTACTGAGCCACCAAGAAACCCCCAAATCCTTGCACATTTTTAATTGGGTTATTTTTTTATGATGTTGTTGCTGATTTGTAATACTTTTTTCATATATTCTGGATACTAGAGCTTTTTAAGATACACAATTTGAAAATATTTTCTCTCTTTCTGTAGATTTTATTTTCACTTCTTGACAATGTCCTTAGATGAACAAAAGGATTAAATTTTGATGCAGTCCAAATTAATCCTTTGTTGCTCATACCATATTTAAAAATCCATTGCCAAATCCAAATCCAAGGTCATATATCCAACCTTTTTAAATGCCCTGGATTGTCTGCTTTTACATCTAAGTACACAGATATACTGTATTTGAGGTGATTTTTGTATAGTCTAATTTTATTCTTTTACATGTGATTATCTAGTTATGCCAGCACTGTTTATTGAAAAGGCTATTCTTTCTCCACTGACTGATTTTGGTACCCTAGGGGAAAATTGATGATAGATGTATAAGCTTATTTCTGGACTCTTCATTTTATTCCATGTTTCTATCTATCTGTCCTTTTGCCAATATCACAATTCTTTTGTGTACTATGGATTTATAGTGTGCTTTGATACTGGGATATTTGAGTCTTCTCACTTTTTTCTTCTTTTTCAGGATGGGTTTGGATATTCAGGTGTCCTTGCAGTTCTGTTTGAATCTGAGAATCAACTGTTCCATTTTTTTTTGTGGTTGTTTTCCATTTTTGGAAAAAAAAAAAGTAATACTATTAGGATTTGATGGAGATTGAACTAAATCTATAAATTGTTTTGGTGGTATCTTAATAGTATTCTAAGAAACTATGAACATGGGGCACCTGGGTGGCTCAGTGGGTTAAAGCCTTTGCCTTCGGCTCAGGTCATGATCTCAGGGTCCTGGGATCGAGCCCCACATTGGGCACTCTGCTGGGCAGGGAGCCTGCCTCCCCCTCTCTCTCTGCCTGCCTTTCTGCCTACTTGTGATCTCTGTCCATCAAAAAAATAAATAAAATCTTAAAAAAAAAGAAACTATGAACATGGAATGCTTGATGCTGTTTTAGAAGGTAATTAATTATTAAGTGAATTTTTAATAGATATAAACCTTTTTTGGATTATTCTTATGTGAGTTTTGGCAAATTGTTTCTTTCAAAGAATGGTCACTTTCATTTAGGTTACCAAATAGAATTATTCACATGGTTTCCTTATTTTTATCCTTTTAATTGCCATATCCTACAGTGAAAACAGGTAACTGATTATAGATTTTTCTTGTTTTGTAGTAGATACATTTGATGCTATAAATTTCCCTCTAAGCATTGCTTTCACTGCATTCCACAAACTTTAATAAATGTTGTTTCATTTTCACTTATTAAAAAATGTTTAAATTTCTTCCCATTCAGTTTTCCCTCCCTTTTTTTAATGGTCTTCCATGCTATTCCATAGCTAATGAATCATTGAACACTATGTCAAAAACTAATGATGTACTATATGTTGGCTAACTGAACATAATAAAAAAAAACTAAATAAATAATAAATAAAG